ATACAATCATTTTAAAGAATGAGGATGCATAATTGGCTCTGTCAGTAAAGTGCTGCCTACTTGAATAAACTAACTTCATTGTTACACTGTATTGACTCCATAGCAACCAAAAACACAAGTTCAAGTTTCATTTCCGCTGCAATTGTTTGTGGTTACCTTCAAAAACATGAAGAAATGTCATTCCTAGGTGTCACAGAGCACAACAGAGATGGCCCATTTTTTCCCCCAATATACTTTCCATTCATTTTCTCCATAGGGATTTAAAAAAATTATTCCGTAAACAGATATATGCCTTCAACCAAACCATCAAACTCTGAGATAGATCACAACATTGCTAACTGGGGCAATGGAACAGACTGTGTACCAAAAAATACAATATAAAAATAGAAGTCATATACCATTGATTAACAACTTCAGATCTCATGGAATGTCTGTATTTCTCTTTGGAGAAAATGAATAGGATTGTTATTGTCTTTGTTGTATTGGTTTATTCTGCTTAATCCTTCTATCCGGCAGTGTCTGGAGAGCAGACAAATATATGAAGAGCTGGATGGGTGTGTGGAGGAGGGTGTTTGTTCTCTGCTGCCGGCCTTGGTGGGACAATAGCGAGCTTCTGAAGCGCAGAGTGGTGGGATGAAGAAGATGAGGAGTCAATGAGTGAAGAGGAGGCAGCGATATGTCAGCTCTTGACCCAGCCATGAGTGTAGGAGGCCTGGCTCAATTACACAGCACAGCCCAGGACTGCAATATGGGATAAATGTCCTGCTAATTATTTTGCTACAAATGTCAGTTTCCTGTTTGACTGTTTTCTTGCTATTTGACTTAGAGATGACATGTGTGCATTCTTCAGTATTAAAATATTCTATAACTATGCCATATTAGTAAACCATTTGTAGATTCCGCTGAAAAGTGATGAGAAATTACACTGTAAAGGTACAATAAGGTAACATTAAACCACTGAAACAGTATTAGTACTTAAATTAACCTTAAATTAACGTAAAATTAACCTTACTCAAACGTCTCAATCACATCATATATCTTCATATAATATATCATCGTATAATTTTCATTCATTATTTTGTTGCCATTCTAAGAAGTTTTCAGCCCTGATTCCAAAATATATCACAATTTGAAACCCTGATTATATGAGGTATTTTCTAACAATAAATAAATAAATATTCCCTATTATTATTATTATGATTTTATTTGTATTTTTATTATTATTTTTTTTTTATTATTATTATTCAATGGGGTCTAGCTATTTGGGTCCAAAACCAAATTAAACCTATATTTCACTTTTTTTTTTTCTTTAATCACAATAATCTCATATATTTTAAGTTACCTTAATAAGCATCCCATTTCTTTATAAGGAAATAAACCTATGGCTTATGTGTAATTATTAGCTTGCTCATTTTTTCTGGATGACACTTGTAATTCAGATCACTCACCAAAATAACAAACAAACAAACAAACAAAAAACTACATTCTACATGGAAAGTGCACTTAATAAATATTTATTTATTTATTTGCTTGTTTTTAACTAGCAAGAATTAGACAGCACTATATCTCATGTCATGCTCACATGATGTCTGTCAAGCATTTGCAAAGAACCATATAAAGACCAGAATGTCTCAGAAGAATAAATGCTGCAAGAAAAAGATAACGCCCATTGCTTAGTAAGCTATCTACATCTTTGCATTTTAGCTCGTTCATCCACAGAGGAGTTTCTTTCACAATCAATCATGATTCCAGAGCCTGACATCAGAGCCGAGAAAGAACTGCAGGAGATCTGATCGAGCATGAAAGATCTTCATCACGGACTCGTCTTTTTCTCAGAATCTTTCTTTCGTTGCCTCCAGCTCTCTGGGCACAGAGCCAGCACATGGAAGCCATAAACATGAAAACACCTTGGGCCTCTCCCTCTGCAGTGCTCCTTGAATCAGAGGGCTTGTGCCTCCACGCCCCATTGACGTTACAAACCGCTCCAACCTCAGCCAGTGACTCCACCTCATGGCCCTACAGGAGTTACAGTATTTGACTACAATCAGTGACTTGCTAGGGTAAACCCCCTAGAAAGAACTCAAGGCTCGAGAGTAAAGATGAATGGCAGGTTGTCCAATTTGCACACTCGACTACATAGTGAAAAAAGGGTGCATTCAGGATCACATACCCTGAAGACTTTAATGTGCATCGCCCACATCATTCGGGAAAACCCGTCCAACCACTTTCATTAACCACAACCCTCATCGCAGTGAATATAGTACATACTCCTTGAGGTATAGCAGTTAAGTGGATGATAAGACTTTGGACAATAAAGCTTCTGTGTATTGAATCTCCATCCATGTTTTAAGGGACCATGTGCATGTAAGACTGTTTTTACACTTCCAGTCCTGAGTTCAGTTCCACCCCCTCCACTAGTCCCACTGGTCTCGTTTCACACTGTACTTTTGGGTCCAAACCACGGTATTGCAAAAGATGCAAAGAATTTGAGCTGCCCTCTGGGTGCTATTTATTCTGAGATATTCTGCTGTGAGAAGTGCATTAAACTATAATGCAAAGATGCAAATTAAATATCATCAATAGTGGTTCATTTGTAGAACATGCTGCATTTCTAACAACTGCAACTCGTACTTGAATTCGCATGAGCTGTACACCAATTGGTGCACACCCCATTTCCTTTAGCTCAAACATTAAAGCATGGTGCTAGCTAGCAAGAGGGTTTGGGAATGCAATGTATGTACACCTTTAATGCAACTTCAGTTGCTTTGCATAAAAGCATCTGCCGAATGCATAAATGTAACCAACCGAACTCTAACAAAAAATACACTTGGGTCCATACCAAATGTCCTATTGTGAAGCCATTAGATTACCAAAAAAAATCAGCCGTCATGGGAGTATCAGTTTGGTTCAAGAATGCTTGCTAAAATAAATAGTGTGTATTTTGCCATCTTGGGTCCATTACTATGGAGACAGACCTTGGTATAATGCCTGGACGGGTAAAGAATTTGGGTTATCAAAGTTAAGTACTATATCATTGCCCTTAATGTGAAAGCAATCCTGGCTGGAAGTCTTCAACCCCAGCTGGTACACTGCACACAGTTATGGATTCATCAAAACTGAAATACAACAACACTTGACCTTTGCTCTCTCCTACCTCTCCAACCATGAACCAGTCAGAAGGGTCAAGAGGTCTGGGTGGCTACCGGGTCACATTCCAACTCAACACTGGTCTTGTAAGGATAGCCCCTGACAAAGCAATTGACACATCTTTGAATGCTTAGGACTATTAGCCCAGAACAGTTCCCCTACACTGCCATGGACATGCAAAGCATGTCAGATTATGCATAAAGCATGCGGCTCTGCACCTCCAGGTTATACCCGCTTTCTTTAAGTGCTCGTTCTTGTATATTTGTTACTAATTGACTTCAACTCTGAGTGTTTCACTCAGAGGACAGTATCGTTAGTGTTATGTTTTCAATAGCATCATACATATTTCTGCCTACATCAAGTCTACACCAGACGTGACCATTGTCATGTCGCACCACGCCACAATGGCTTGAGGCTGTCTACACTGAACGAGTCAAATCAGAAGTTGCATATGCATTTGTAAGCATGTGGAGTACATTCTAAATAGAAAGGGGCATCAGTTTACTGTCTGTGACTTTTTGTTTCCCACCACTTCTAGTGTAGACAGTACCACTGATACCAGTGATACTAATGGTAGTCATTGATTTGGTTGCATTGTGTCATGCTGCTCGCGTCTGGTCTAAACACGGTGTAAAACTATAATATGGTATTAGGTTAGCTGGTTTCCCAAGCAGGTATTCAGCTGGTATAGCCAGTCTCCCAGCCTGACCAACTAAAAAGTACACAAAACACCACTAAAATCATCAAACCAGACCAGTCCAACCAGTAGAAACAAGCTTGGAGGCCAGCAAGGACAAGCAAATCACTTTAGGGAGGTTTTAACAGGGTTGAAGTGTAAGTAGCTAGCAAGGGCAATTTTTAAATTAATAATATACTGCAGTAAAATAAATCGCAAAAGAAAATTTCATCTTCATTAAAAGTACAGCATTGTTTGCACTGACGCGGCAGATGAATATTTGAACCTTGTTTTCACTAAAGTCAGAGAGCTAAAGGAAAGACACAGTGGTAAAAAATGAGATGAGACCCCTCTCTTAAGATATATGAGTTGACTGGCCCAGTTCAAAGCTGGGTGTGCTGGGTATCAAATTGCATTATATATGCTTTTAAGTTCAATACCCAACAGGGACATGAATAAAACAATGGAACCACTGGACAAACTTTAATTTGAAGAAATGTACATTTCTGTGTGGGAATTTCCCATCAAAATTATTAATGCCAGGTTTTTGTTCGCTGTGAGAAAACTCCTCATGTCATACTCACTTAGTGTAGTTGGCCAACTGCGCTTCCTGTGAGCGTAATTCTTCTTTAAATTCAATTCAACTCAGGGCCTCTGAACTATAACTGGAGCCCCAATCGAAGCGGTTCCATCTGCTGGCTTTTATTCTCCTTCGTGGTTTTGTTTGCGGGAGTTGTTCTAAAAAAAGAAACGTCATTTCTGTCATTCCTTTATTCTGTCTCTCATTTTCTGCATCTGCAATACAGCCGCCTCATATTTTCTTATGCAAATACCCGAGGAGCTTGCATTTCTAGAGCAAAATGGATCGTGACTGAATGACTCAAGAAAAGAGTTTGAAACAACTATTGGGGTAAGTCCAACGATGACTAACAGGACTAGGGCAATGTCAAGATCTGAATGGCTGATACGGACCAAGCAAATCACGACAGTGAATCATCTCGTGAACGGGGCCTAAACAAATCTCCACTTTCCTGTTACTCTCAGCGCTACGCAATGGATTCTGCAGCCTATAGACGTGACGAGAGAAAGGAGGGGCAGAGAGGGAGGGAAAGGGGAGGCACTAGGACCTGTTGGCTCCTGCAGTGGAGGTCAGGGGAGTAGCTGTGGGACTCCAACTTTCAGAACAATCAATTTCCCTTAAGAGAGAGTGGGAGCAGGGCTGGAGTGGATGGCACAGGACCTGGATACTCACATTTTGTAACGCCGAACAGGACTGGGCATTGGGGATAAACCTGTGGAGAGGTTGAGAGCTGGAATACAACCAACTTGGGGTTTTGACATTTCACAAACGTGAGAGGAGAGCAGCTGTGAGGTAAGCAGCACTGGGTGCTGATGTTTTGAATTATGAGTTTCGTGGAATGCTTGTGAATGGTCTTGCTACATGTCAACGAGCAAAAGGGAAGCTTTTAATCTGAAATGAGCCCGTATCCTATGACAGGAAGACTCAAGGTGCTGTTGACAAGAAAAGCAATGCATGCATTGAAAAGAAATAACTTGAGTGATATACTAGATGGTATCTAGAGGGGAGAGAACCAGCAGAAGTGGAGCTCACTACATCCACTCCAAAAATTAAAAAATAAAATAAAATAGTAAAGAAGAAAAATCCAAACTGTTTCTGAATGAATTCCAAGCCAAATTGTGTGGTTTGGACAAGAATAACTTGTGGTATTATGAAAATTCAAGCGTTCTGGGGTGTGAGATGACATGTAGTTGAAGCATGAAGAGATCAACTTGGAGGTCTGCTAGGTGCTGGGGACCACCAGACTTTGGAGAAGTATGCTTAGAAGTTAGAGACCCCTAAAACATCAAACCTCCACCTTTCTCTTTTTTCTTTCCATCTATCCGTCAAACCACTCATGTTACACAACCAGAGGGTCTCGCTATCATTGCTTCATTCCTGTCCGAGACATGGAACGCGTTACAGATTTTTATCATTTTCATCTGGGCAGGAGCTGTGGTTAGCATGTCAGCTGGCTTCAGGTTGAAGTTGAAGTCTGAATATGCAAACGGGAGGGAGAAGGCAGAGGGATTTTTATGAATATTTGGCAGAATGATGTAATAGATCTGGAAAGTTGGAATATTCCAATAAGACATGCTTTTTATCACATAAGGAACTTAATACGGTCCAGTACAGGTTGGGTAATTCAGTCAACATCTGTAAAAGATAAAGTCGCCTGCATAAAAATGATAAAATCCTAGGTGCGATTATGTATCGCATAATGCATCTGTATACTTATGCTTGCCTTGTCCAAATGCAGGTCGACGGCCCTCTTGAAGTCGCTTTGGATAGAACCCAACGTTTACTTGACACTGAGTGAGTGAAGCCTTTTAAATTCCCAGATGCTCTCTTGTCCTGAGGCAGATGGACAGTGCTATTTTCCTTCCATACAATGATGTCGGCTATTATTATTCATGAGCAGGGTCAGGTTTCCCATTGAGCCTGAATTAAAGGTTTCTCTCTGTAGATCTGTGCTCACATAGCGTAGCGTGCCGCTGTGGTAATGAGAGGTAATGAGGGCTTCTAATGAGGCAGGTGGGCCACTGCCAGCAACTCCCCTGGGTGTTTAAGTTACCCAGGCCGACGACTCGAGCCTATAGCTTAGTCCCGGCGTTGGTCGTGAATATATAAAACGACCCGTTGACTATATGGCTCGATAAGAGCACACTGACCATCTGGCCAAACAAAATAGATGAGGTGGATCTAGTTTTACTCACCCAACATTCCATGTTCACACACAAAATACTTCTGCAGAAACCCAACACAAACACGCACTCCAGGGTCCTGTTTGACTGTCTCTGGCACCTGGCTGAAACGATCTGGAATATATAGTATCTTCTGATGGATTTCAGAGTTTGCACAGCCCTGGGGCTCTTGTATGCACTGCCAAGACAGTTTTATGAGTATTTGAGCTCGCTTCGGAGCGCTTCTGTTTAGGATAAGCCGTGTTTGTTTGTGCAGAGAAGACCGACCTTCGACAGAGAGCAAAATTTAATGCCCCCTATGGCCACACAAGAGCTTCAAAATTATTCCCATGGTGATTCACGCAACATTTGAGTAGGGAAGTTAAAGTGATAAATTAATAGAATGACTGTAAAATGAGGTGCGATGCTGGAATATATCAACGTCAGTAAAGAAGCGCTAACAGATATCAAAAACATGTGCTGTTGGTATTGGTGAAGTCAGACACCTTCTGCGAATTAGAAGTTTAAGCATAATTATTGGTAGGTCATTGCAATGCCGGAATTGTTTAATCTTTGAAAGAGCCGTTTAACCCCAACGCTTTCTCTGAGATCAGTTAGATCGTGCAATAATGTACAAATGTAAAAAAAACAAAAAAAATCATTGTACGATGAAGAGGATTGTTTACATGCCCAGAGAGATGCTTGAATGTATTCATGAATCGTTTCTCATTTAAAACCCTGATGCGATTTCTGTCAAAATGTTTATAGGATATTATTCGTCTGTTCCAAATACATCATAAAATTCTTTGTCAAGCTATGGATTTCATCGCAAGAAGTTGATAGTACTTGTACTTTTTTTTTTTGCAGGAATCACACAATTTAATCACAGCTTTTTTCTGTATCATATAACTGATCTCATATTTTTGTTTTCCAACTTACAGTGAGGTTAAAAAGTTTGAGTATAGTAAAAATACTTGTTGCTTTCTATATTAAAAATTATGGCAACACTCTAGTTTAGTGACCAATTCTCACTATTAAGTAGTTGCTTATTAGCATGCATATTATATTAGCTGTTTATTAGTAATTATAAAGCACATGCCTTATTCTGCATGACCATATTTTACCTCACTAAGTCGTAGTTAATAGTTAATAGTGATAATTGGTCCCGAAACTAAAGTGTTAACAAATTTATATATTTGCACAGAAAATTCTGTGAAATTTTCCGCATTTCTATATATCATTGTTATTAATTATACCACTTTTTTACATTAAGATGAAAGTTGTGGTAGGTTTTTCTTTTTTTTTTTTTTGAAGAAACGTCACAGAATGTAAAATCTGAATTGTGATTGGTGTGAAATATCCAAATTATTGATTTGATGGAATTCCCTTTGATTTGATGGATTGATTTACATCCAATTGTTGTACTGACTGATACTTTAGAGTGTACAACAGCAGAAAGTTTGTAAATGCTTCTGGAATGTAAAAAAAAGCTTTGATCCTTTAATGGGCACCTAAAGTTTTTCTATAGTGTCGGGTGCCATTTGATTTTATGCATCATTAATTCAAAGAAGCAAGAACATCTATTTTCAGTATAAAGATGGTTCACATGCCCTATTTCACAAATTTATATATTTGATTAGTGATGTAGAAATAGTGCATATTCTGAAATATTGCTTTCATCATTTTGCATGTACAGATTCTGAAATATTCGTTTTGCATCACAACATTCCTTTGTTTTAAAGGTGACATATCATGAAAATCTGACTTTTCCGGGTTTTAAGTGCTATAATCAGGTCCCTGGTGCATCTACCAACCAAGGAAACGTGAAAAAGATTAACCCAGTAACTTTGTTTTGGGAAGCCTTTTTCTGCAAGCGTCTGAGAAAACGAGCGCGTCTGATTTCGCTCCCTTGGTGACGTGGCAAAGGGATCTCATTATAATATTACCGCCCCTTAATCTGTAAGTTCCACCTGCGGCGCCGTCATTTTGATTTCGCAAGCGACAACGGTGTACTAGTTCTAACGCCATGGCGAAAGTTTGAGCAAAACACGCTAACTGTTCTGCCTTTGGCTGCACAGACGAGCACAGAACACTGTTTAGAGTCCCAGCCTCAGAGGAGACAACAGAGCAGTGTATTTATTGATTATTTACTATATATTGCTGCTGCCACACAGATCTAAAATAAAAATGCGATTTATTTCCCAGCTGTTTACCTTCACAGACATACATAACCGAGTGTTTTTGTAACTCGTGTGTTCTGTCCGTGTGCTTCGGATGTGTGCGCTCAGAAAACCGTATATCAGAAGTTTAAACTCATATGGTTTAAAACGCATGATTTCAGCACGATAAACATGATAATCAGAACCAAAACAGATATTTTTAGCAGGTACGAGCTGCAATGGAGCAGCACTATTCTGGAAAAGGGAGCGGGGAGCAGCAGCTCATTTGCATTTAAAGAGACAGGCCCGAAAAACAGCGTGTTTCTGCTTCCACTCAAAATAGGCATTTTCAAAATGATATAATAAATGATCTGTGGAGTATTTTGAGCTGAAACTTCACAGACACATTCTGGGGACACCAGAGACTTATATTACATATTGTAAAAAGGGGCATAATATGTCTCCTTTAAAGTTTTAATCTCTAAAATCCATGTTTAAATTCTAATTTAAATCCCAGATTTTCGCGATGTGGCCTCAGGCTTTCAGACCTCCATGCACTGTTTATACTTTATGTCCTTTCCAAACATTTCCTTCTTGCTGAATGATCAAGGTTAAATCTATGCCTCTTGCACATCTGAACCTTCCCTTTCGTTCAGCTAACAAACAAGCATGTTTCATCCAATCCCTGAGAGCTGGGGTTTTGGACTTATGTACACAAGTGACTAATGACTAATTTCGGGTCGACAATCGCCACTAAAATAACAATTGGGAGAAGTTTGCTTAACAGATGTGATTGCCCTAATTTCAGCTCGACCGCAGAGCATGATGCCTTCACCTGTGCCCCACCCACTGTATTTCTGTTTTCATTTCATAGACAGATGACATGTTTTGCAGTGCTTGTCTCTACATGAGGTTGTCTCCGAAACATACACAGAACATCCACACACAATCAGCAGGCTTTGAACTTGCCGCAACCACTTTCCCCTTGTGGGCCCTGACTTTATGTTACAACTTTGTCTTTTGCTACTGCAGGTGGGTAAGTAGACAAGTAATTTCATGTTTAAGATTAACAGATGATTCAGACAGCTGTGAGAATATTTACTTTTACCTTGTGGCTTAATGTATGGCTCGCTTTCAGTGTGTACATTGGTAACTATTGCATAACATGTCCATGGACGTTGTTTTTTTTTTGTTTTTTTATCAACATGAAGATTTTAGGTTTAAACAGTAACAGTCTCGTAACTGGTCACTATTTCTTTTTGACCATTTTTAATCCCTTTTTTTTTTTTTTTTTTTTTAAGTGCAAATAAAGTAAAATAAAATATTTTAAAAGTACAAATCATCCAATTAATATGACATCAGAAAACTCATAATGCATAATGATAATTATAAAAGATGCCGCAGACACTATCAACCACCCACACTTTCCTGTGCTTAACATAAATTCAAATCACTTCAGTATGCAAAAAAT